CAGTGGGAGAAAATTGCTGATCCATATGGCAAATTTTCAATTCCACAGTACAGCCGTTGGCTTTATCACGGCAGAAGAAGCTTCCCAACTACGGGCCGAATTGACAGCAGGTTTTCGGCAAATGTATGACCAGCAGATAGCAAATCTGCAGGCAATACATGACGCAATGCAAAACTTGATGGAGCAATCAAAATTCATGTTGAATTCGGTTCCTGCACCGCCAGAAATGTCATGCCCCCAAACGGACAACGCCATTCCTGAGCATATACCCAGTCAGACAGACTGGAGACAGGACCAAACAGGAGGACAGGCCCGACCAGGGACGACTGAATGGACGGAGACAGGTCGGCAGGATCACGACGCCTGGACGGACCATGGTCGGAAAGACCACACCGACTGGACGGACCATGGTCGGGAAGACCACACCGACTGGACGGACCATGGTCGGGAGGACCACACCGAATGGACGGACCGTAGTCGGGACAACCACACCGACTGGATGGACAAAGGTCGGGAGGACCACGCCGACTGGACGAATACAGATCGGGAAGACCACGTCGACTGGACGGACAAAAATCGGGAGGACTACGTAACCTGGACGGATACAGGTCAGGAGGACCCCGCCGAATGGACGGATACAGGTCAGGAGGACCCCGCCGAATGGACGGACACGGGTCAGGTCGCCGACCATAACTTTTCAGGCGAGCAAAAGAATGACAGAACAACAGTGGCCGAAAGGAGGAATAAGTCGGACGGGAGTCTGAATACAATGGTAGTGCAAGATCGACCAACGTCCAGGCCAGCACCAGTCCGCGATAAATGGAGGTCGGGTCCAACGTAGCCTCAAAGGATGGAGGTCGGATCTGAGGCTGACGTAGCCTCGGATGCTAACCTACTAACTCCTAAAACATCATAAGAAATGATGCTTAGGAGTCTTGAGGAGGAGGCATGTTGTTACGCACAAAAAATAATAATAATAATAATAATAATAATAATAATAATAATAATAATAATAATAATAATAATAAGGTATCCAGAGTCAGTCGGTGGGTTCTCAGTCGGTTGGTTCTCAATCAGATAAGCAAGTCAGATGGTCCGCGGTCGGGCAAGCAGGTCGGATTATCCGCAGTCGGATAAATGGGTCGGTTGATACAAAGGTTGGCTGCTATGGGGGTCGGTCGAAAAAGGAAGTCGGGCGAAGAAAGGTCTGTTGATAGGTCAGACGATTGAAGAGACCAAATAGTGGTCGTTTGATGGGGCGACCAGTGAGTCTTTCGATCTGGCGACCAATTATGTATCTAGATTGGTCGGTTGGTCGGTCGTTGGGTTATGCGGTTGGCGAGGCGGTTAGAGGCAGTTCTGAGTTCTGTAACTAGTGGGAACGGTTGGTGAAACAGTGCGACGGTTCTGAACGTTTTCTTCAAAGAATATTTAAGGATTTGGATCATCATTTGGCAAGACATCTTCAATCAACTTCAACAAAGCAAAGTCAGATTTGGGGATCACCACTTTAAATTTCAGTCTTTTATTTTCTATATCTTTGAATTTTACTTTATTTTTGTTGAAAAATTACATCAACAATTATATATACATGTATCACAATAATTGCTTAATCATTATTTAAAACCCCATTAAACTTCTAACCGTTCATTTAGATCCAAACCATATATATTATAATTCCAAACAAAACAACCATCTCTTCACAAAGTTTCATAAGTAACAAAAGGTTAGTAAATTGTTTCATATTACATTATTTTGTAATACTAAATTTTCTTGAAAATTTTATGTCAAAATTATTAGCTTACAGTAATAATAATAATAACACTTGCACCAATAATGATATTCGTTAACGAACTATCTTAAATTAATTAATAAGTTGTACAAAATAGAACTCATTAGAAATCATTGAACAAATGGCTTCAAATGACATTTTTTGGTTGATTTAGCCGTAAATAAATAATGTAATTGTATATGATAATAAAATAAATAAAATGGCTTATTAGCTCAATTGGTCAGAGCGTTGGTCTTGTAAGTCAAAGATTTTGTATCATGTCCACGATATTTATTTTATTATATTGATAAAGAAATTGGATTAGCTAAATAATGTGATATATTATTTTGAATTAAGTAATAGTATTGTTTTGTCAAAATATTTTGTAATTTTTATATTGCATTCTATATAGTGTTCGAAAGATTCAACTATTTACTCTCTTTTTTTCATTTCAAAATATTTTTTTTTTCACTTTTTATTTTTTTATAATACATGCGCTCTGAATAAATTTTTGGCCGAAAATAATAGGCCGAAAAGTAGACAAACGCTTGTTATTATTCATTGTTGACAACTTATTTATACATACTTTGAGTGCTGGACAAATTAAACGGTAATTCTATTTATTACATTCATTTCATGGAATAGACAATGGTGATTTAATGTGATTGATTTTCTAGAATTCTATACTGAGTTGTGTGTGTGTATATATATATATATATGCATAGTATGTTCTACTAATATATATCCAGTTATAGATATTTATACTTATTTATTGAAAGATATAATTATTTTATTTTGTTTTAGAATATTGCATTAGATATGTGTCAAGAATGGTTTTAGACCTCGGGGTTATGTGTTTAATTTGTGGATCAGGTGTTGATTGCACTTTATTGGTAAACACAACAAGGATAGATAAAATTGTAAAATTATAATAATTGTAGATGTAAGGGTGCAAATCCAAGTCCCATATTGGAAGTTGTGAAGAAAAATTACACACCTTATAAGTCTCAAGTGAACTCCACTAGTACGAGGTATTTTGGAGAATATCCAAAAACAAATCCGTGCGAGCTCAACCCAAAGTGGACAATATCATACTAGTGTTAAGCTGACCCAGTCCCAACACTAATAAATAATATTTCCTGGTTGTTAGCAAGAAAAATTAATTTTGAGTTTTAAATTATCGTCCAACTGATTTAAAAGGATTTTGGTATAATTTGATACAAAATCCCGGCCGTATATGACAAATTAAGGGAAAGTAAGCTGAAAAAATTAATTTTATGAGAAAATAACTGAAATGAGATAGATTGTCTTCAATTGGCTATTATAAAAAAATTATAGAAAAAATCATAATTCGTTCAATTCAAATTCACGTTTTTCATTTTTGATCCTACTAAAAAACTATTACTATCAAACTTAATCTCATACAAAATATAAATTATCATTTTTGATCCCACCATTCAAATCTCAATGAACTTTGTTGTTGTGACTGTAATGGACGATGACAATGGCGTCTGAATCAAATCGAACATGACCGTGTTATAGAAAATACGGTTGTGTTCGATCCTACAACATACCCATAAGTCAACATGGGCGTGTTCCAATAAACAAACCGTGTTCGACTTCAACACACATCTGTTTGCAGGGTCGTGTTCTAAACACGGGCGTGTGTTGTGCACATACGCTCATGTTCCACCTCATATAACCTCATAACTTGAAAACACATCCGTTTTCAGTGGGTGTGTTTCGAACATGGGTGTTTTACATGTGAACACACCGTCCTTGAAGATGCAGACCCATCTAAAACACTCTGGTTTTGAGTAAAAACAACTTAATGGTTTATAATTAGGTTTTAATTATATGTTCATTATATATTTTAAATTACAACAACATATCAAATACAAATAACAAACATATATTGTATTTAATTAAAAAGTCGGTTTACATCGACTACATATTTTATATAGTTTTCAATTATTTGTTTTTATATCTAATCGATGTAAACTAACTTTTTATTTAACTACAATGTGTTTATTATTCATATTTAATGTTTTTTTTTTTTGTAATTGAAAATATATAATGATCATATAATTATAATTTAATTAAATTGTTTTTACTTAAAATCAGAGTGTTTAGATGAATTTGCATCTTTGAACACGGGCGTGCTCACTTGTAAAATGCCCGTGTTCGAACACACCACTGAAAATGGGTGTGTTGTCAGGTCTTGTGGCCGTATGAGGTCGAACACGGGCGTGTGCGCACAAAATATGCCCATGTTTAGAACACGATCCCAAAACTGGTGTGTTTTGAGGTTGAACAGGGCGTGTTTTATTGGAACACGCCCATATTGACTTGTGGATGTGTTGTACGATCGAACACGGTTGTATTTTCTGTAACACACGCGTGTTCGATCTGACTCAGAAGCCACCATCAGTGTCCATTACAACCACGTCGGTAAAATCCGTTGAAATTTGAACGATAGGATTAAAACTGATAAGTTATATTTTGTATGGGGCTAAGTTTGATAATATTTTTTGAGTGAGATCAAAAATTAAAAAAAGTGATTTTGAATGGGACTAATTATATTTTTGTTCAAAAAATTAAAATCCTATGGTATTGTTGGTGTACAAAAATTATTTTGGCGGACAATTGCCTTCAATTATCGGATTTGTCTGCTTTGAAATAACGTGTTATTTAAATTTTTATTTAAATAATATTTTGATGTGATATTTTTCTTAAAAAATGTATTTTTATTAAAACCTATATAAAATGAGTATGTTGGATTGTTTGTGATTCAAAGGGCCAAAAGAAGATAAAGCCCATATTTTTAAGTTTGGTGGAATGCTTTTATTTGGTAGAAGAAAGTTGAGCAATTATAAAGTGATTAAACTATGATGATGATTGATTATTACGATGGAGTTTGAAGGAAGGATTGATCAAATTGAATACACATATCCGATCAAACAAAAAATTTTGTTGATTTATTTTTCTTTCCTTTTTGCTTTAATATGATTTTTGTTTTATTTACATTTTGCAAAATAAAATTAGTGTTTGAATATTTACGGAAAATAGAAATGATATATTTATCAAAAAAAAAAAAAGTTTCAATGTGCATATATATGGACATATATATATGTGTGTGGACCTAAAATGACAATATATAAAAAATATGCTAACATCCCCCTCTAACTCAAGATGGTAAAGTAAAAACCAACTTGAGTTTGCTCAACAATGTGGAGAACCAGCCTGGGAAGAGGGACTTGGTGAAGATATCCGTAGTCTGATCCTCGGAAGAGACAGAAGATAGATAAACAGTGCCTGCAAGAACATGCTGACGAACAAAGTGACAATCAATCTCATTATGCTTGGTGCGCTCGTGAAAGACATCATTATGAGAGATCTGAATTGCGCTCGTGCTGTCACAATGGAGGGAAGTGGAAGAAGGCTGAGGAACCCTGAGATTAGAAAGAAGCCGACGAAGCCAAAGGAGCTCTAAAGTCGAATCCACAAGAGCACGATACTCAGACTCTGCACTGGAGCGAAAAACGAGAGTTTGTTTCTTACTGCCCCAATAAATAAGGGAACTCCCAAGGAAAAAACAATAACCTGTGATAGAGTGATGATTAGTCGGATCACTTGCCCAATCAGCATCAGAGAAACCTACAAAACCAATGGAGAGTCAGCAGAAAAATGAAGATCATGTAGGAGCGTTCCCTTGATATAATGAAGGATGCGCAATACAACAACATAGTGAACTGTCCGGGGATTAGTCATGAACTGAGCAACAGCATGAACCGCATGAGCTATGTCAGGGCGAGTGACCGTCAAGTATATCAGGGATCCTACTAACTGCCGATAGCGGGACGGATCCTCTAGTGGAGTGCCGTCGAAAGGAGCAAGTCGGCAGTTCCCCTCGAGAGGGGTGGATGCAATCTGGCTATCAGTCAGACCTGAATGAGATATGAGATTAGATGCATATTTTTCCTGATATATATATATGCCATCTGGAGCGTCAGAAATCTCAAGTCCGAGAAAATAGCGGAGCTGACCAAGACTCTTCATGTCAAAGTGTTGATGAAGGTAGGTCTATAGATCAGATATACCAGAAGTTTCATCGACGGTAATAACCATGTCATCCACATACAACAAGAGAATGATGATCCCGGCAAGAGAACAACAAATAAAGAGAGCAGAGTCATAGGGAGATGCAGAAAAACCATACTGAAGGAACGTAGCACTAAACTTGGCGAACAAGCTCGGGGCGCCTGCTTTAGTCTATAAAGGATACGGCACAGTTGACATACCTTCCTTGAAAAATCTGAGCCAGGTGGAGGGGTCTTGTAGACTTCCTCAGGCAAATCTTCATGAAGAAACGCATTCTTCACATCCAACTGTAATAATTGCCTACGTCGAACAACGGCAACAGCAAGAAGACAATGGACAGATGCCAAACGAGAAACTAGAGCAAATTTCTCCTCATAATCAATACCATACTCCTACAAAAAACTCCTGGCTACAAGCCTTGAGCGCTACACCCACTTGCAGCTAATAGGTTTCTTACCAAGAGCGAGATCAACGATATCCCACGTGCCGGTCTTCTTAAGAGCCTGCAATTCCTCAGACATAGCGTCGCGCCACAAGGGATCACAGTTCGCCTCCAGAAAGGTCCTGGGCTCATGGTGAGATAAAATGACAGAAAAACAATGATAATCAAGTAGATGAGAGGGAGGACGACTTACATGGGTGGATCCCCAATCAGTGGCGGTAGGAACTGAAATTTCCGGAGGATCGGGCACATGCTCAGGAGGGTCAGCTGGTGAGGAAGGATCAACATCAGACAGACCAGCAGGAATGGATGGGGGTTCGGGACTTACAGAAGGAGGAGATGAATCCATAACAAAGAACGGGGACTCTGACTCAAAGGGAATGGAAAATTTAGACTCAAAGGAAAAGAACTTGTGCTCCCAAAAGGTAACATCCCGAGAGATACACAGACGATTCAACACAGGATCCCAACATCGATAACCTTTATGTTCTATCCTATACCCAAGAAAACAACACAGGCGGGTGCGTGGTTCTAATTTGTTACATTCATGAGGAGGAAAATGAACAAAGCTGACTTAACCAAAATGATGAAGATGAGAGTAATTAGGTACCTGGCGGAAGAGCCTCTCAAAAGGTGTGGTATCCTAAAGGACAAATGAGGGTAAGAAGTTAATATTATAAACAGCAATAAAAACAGCCTCACCCTAAAACCGATATGGACAACTGACAGATAACAACATAGCTCGAACTGTGTCTAAAATATGACGATGCTTGCACTCTGCCCTACCATTTTGTTGAGATGTATAGGGACAGGAACGTTGGACAAGAGTACCTTGGGTGGACAGAAAACTAAAAGAGGCAGAATTATTATATTCGAGGGCATTGTCAGTGTGAAGAGTCTTAATAGGAAACGAGAACTGAGTTTGCACCATTTTAGCGAATGCAGAGTAAATGGAGGCAAGTTCAGACCGCTTACGCATAAAGTAAATCCAAGTAAAGCGAGAGTAATCATCAATAAAAAACACAAGTAGCAAAACCCAGTAAGAGTAGCAACAAGAGAGGGCCCCCAAATGTCAGAATAGGCGGCCTATCTTGCGACCCGTCCCAAGTATCTAACCCGTCTGCGTGTCTTGAACCTGCACACCAAAAGAAGAAAAAATTACAGTAAAATTCTGCTCAACCAACTGACCGACAGACGCAAGGTTTAGGGCTAATTTGGAATGACATAAACATCATCGAGGTAGGGGGGACAATATATGGCTAGTATGGGTAATGCACATTGAGGTGCCATCAGGAAAGTATATGAGGGGATGAGGTGTCGGGTTGGGAGGAATGTAAAAGGTGAGGGTCAGGTGTCATGCGGTTACAACAGACAAAATCAATATGCCATGTGTTATTACCTGATGTCGAGGCTAATGAAGGATGAATTGATAAAACCGGAGTGGGCATGTGACGTAGGTCCTCAAGAGTGGGAGGCCGTTGAGGTGACTGTGATACGCTAGTGGCAGCAGCAATGACAGAGGAAAAACTGGAAGAGGACTGACCAGTCTTGGGATTCGTAGGACAATGCGAACGGATGTGGCCTTTCTGATGATAGAAGTGACACTCAACTTTAGGGCAATAGATATAAAGATGATCAGCATTCGGGCAACTGCGACATTTATCAGACTGAGGTGGTCGGGCATCCTTGCAATTATCTCTGCGATGAGGAGTAGAAGAGGGAACTGCTAAGGCCGAATCAATGGTAAGAGCCTTGAGCATCTTGAGGCAGGTGTCCTCAAACAAAATCTCCTTTATCGTTGTCTCGAAGGAAGGCAAGGGATGACGATGAAGCAAGGAAGCACGCATAGACTCATATTCTGCACCAAACTTCATCAAGAGCTGAATCAACCAAAAGTGCTTAATCTGTATGTCTGCCTCATCAATGCAATCCCACATAGACTGTATAGTAAAGAGGAACTCATTCATATCTTGGAGCGAGTCATGTATCAATGCATTCAATGACCCTATAAGCTGATAATAATGCATACCTCCAGTGGCCTGATATCGATGCTGCAAATAATCCCAAGCTTTCTTGGCAGTGTCCATGCGGCAAAGTTGAATCTGAATGGGCTTGGAAGAGGTATTCCGAATCCAAGTAAGAATAATGTTGTTCTTACTATCCCACTAATCCAAGGAATTCCGATAGTCCGTGAGATCCTTATTGTTGAGGGGCTCCGTAGAAGTGACAACAGGAGCAATCAGTGCAGAAAAGTCGCCAGTAACATTGCGCCATAATCTTTTACCAATCAAGAAACTCTTCATGGATTCAGCCTACAAATCATAATTATCATCAAAAAGAATAACAGTAATCCCGGATGCGTCTATGCGATCCATATTAAGAGCCATACTATGAAGCGAGAAAATCAAGAATAGTATAGCGCACGCAAAAGAATCGTGTAGAAAATCAGACTGGGCAAGACAACTTAGTAATAGTCGCAAAATAAATTCAAGTTAGATGGAAAACCCGACCATACCAGGATATCGGGGACCGAAGTAGGAGACGGCGGCCGGAAACCGCCGGACGGGGCAGGAAGGCGGAGGTTGTGGAGGGATACGACGTCGATTTGCATTGGAGGTGCGTGCGGCTGCCATGCGCCGGCATTGGCGGCGAAAGCAATGAGGATTAGTAGCTATGTCTATCCTAGAAGAAAAATAGGCTCTAGTACCATATTTGAATATTTGCGAAAAATAAAAATTGTATATTTACCAAAAAAGAGAGTTTCAATGTGCATATATATGTGGGCTCCAAATGACAATATATAAAAACTATGCTAACAATTAGAATTTAGGTTTCTTGTAATTGACATATTTTACCCACTACAATTTTTTAGCATGCATTATTCCTTCAATTGATTTATATTATTTTTTTTAAAAAAATAGTTGTATACTACCGGAGACTTTTATCTAGTTGCCTAAGCATCTACCATTCCTCCCGAACAATAAAAATTAATTTTGAGACCAATACAATTGACACATTAGACCTAATGGGACTCAACAACATATGCAATTATTGTCGGAGAAAGTGATCAAAATTGGTGAATGGAGAAAAGAACGGCGACAAGCTGCTGGATGCCCTACAAGAGCTGTCCCTTCTAAACAATCTACATTAAGAAGGCGTCAGTTTATATAGAGAGAGCAGCCTTCTTCCTAGCAGATGGCGACTGTCGAAGATATCATCGAGATGCAAGCCGACCTTCAAGACTCATGTATTACATCTGTGTCAGTTGGCTGTCATCTTTCGGATGATCATCCATAATGAAATATCCATTGGTATAAGAAGTCAAGACAATATCAAGCGCAAAATGTGAATCTGTGGCAGCCTTAAGTGATGTCCATTCCATTGCATCATTTGAATGTCAAATCCAATGCCATTAAACCCTTTTCTTTTTTCAATCACCAGCATCTTCGGAACGACAACATTACACTTTGAACAAGTAAAAATGCTTCAGCAGAATTTTTGAATGGTTTAGCAATTTTTTTGTCTCATAAAAACCACCACATAATGGACTCGGGGGCAAGCAATAAATACAGTCTCGTATAGCACCAACCCTTATCGTTGACAGGTGTGGTATTTAGTTGGTATTCAGAACTACCACTGAACTCTATACAATCATGAAAAGATATGAAGAAGGCATTTCTTGATCGATTTTAAACCCCTCCATTTGAAGTTATGCTTTATGTAATGAATGTAATGCAAAATTTGATAAATTGGCAGCCGAGTACATTGAGTGCTTTCAAGAAATGAAGAGTCTAGCTGCAATGTTTAAGACTCGGATACTCAAGCAACGCATATAGAAGTGGAAACATGCACCCGCAACTCACAAAAAGTTGGCCTTTCCGGAGTTTAGTGATTTTCAACAATTGGTGGTTTGTGTTGTTCGCACCGAGTATGATTAAGGGACGGCAGACTGCTTAAGCTAATCGATTGAGGCTAGTGAATCAATCAATTTTTATAAATAATGATGATAATTCCTCTGAAATAGCTGTTGAAGACACTAAATAGCCCGAGTTGTGTTCTGCCGAGCTATTGCAAAGTAAAATATATGTGCCTGGCCAGTCGCGTGGTCCATCAAATAATTCACCTACTCTGTGATAATAAATTAATGTAATATAGAGGAGACTATCATCTCCACAGGGATTGTGTGATTCACTCTTTTATATTCTAATGCAATGAATGAAAATGGAGAATTTTCTCTTATTATCTAATAAAGACAAAATAAAAACACAATTAAATTAACAGAGAACTGACTATCAAGGGGATGGCTGACTCAAGAGGTGATGCAGTTATGACACTTTTATTTTTATCATCAATTCAATAAAGTTAATTCTTACTATTAAATTATCAATAAATTGGTTATATTTATCAACAAGCTCTGACAACCAGTTTTTTCTTACAGTGTAAGTAGTTAAGGTACGCCCGTAAACTACCCCGAATTAAGCTAATAAACCTAGGTAGGCCCATTGAAAATATTTTTTAATCGCATTATAATCTAGTAAAACCCAATTCAAAATAATTACTACCTAAGAGCAGCAATTATATTTGATTGCCTAACCCCCGGAAAGGAACTATCCGACCTGGTTGACACCTATTCAAGTGCGACTACAATTACGGATATCCTACCTAAATTGACTTTAGATTATCAAACCAATTTAAATATCGTACCAAAATACCCAATCAATCTAACAATCACAAACACTATTATCAGAATTAGATCAATATTAATAATAAAAAAGAACTTTTATAAAGAAAGTCAAGAATCTCCAAAACACAAGAACCAAAACATTATCATCCCTCAAACTAGAACGGTATCTACTCCATAATCAAATAGAAAATAACAATGAAGAAAGATAAAGTCATAGTTTGAAGGGAAATCTTCTCTATCGATTTGCTCATGCGCGATCTATAAATCTCTCAGTCTCATGCTCCTGCACATGTCTGCATTGCTTTTGGCCGTCCTACCTTTGTCTACGTGTAACTCCCTCTTTTTTCTTTTAATTTTGCCATATTTTTGTAGTAGTTGAGCTTTTAGGCCTTCAATTAAATTCTCATGTCAGAAGGGTGGGGTCAGTTATAGTTATGACTAACTTGATTGTCCAAGGTGATTTGTTTTCCCCAAAATTCACCAATTTTGCATTTTCTCTCCTGCATGTTGAAAGTGAACAATACTCACAAAAATTAGGTAGAATCCAATCAAAACAAACCAAATAACGGATATGATATGAACATAAAACATATGTGATTTCAAGCTATCAATTCTCCCCTCACCTAAATCATACTTTCCCTCAAGCATACTATCAAGCAAAAAAACTCAAGTATATAACATTCTCGCAAACGTCATATCCATCATATTTCAAACAGAGCACCACCGAATTCGAAGTTCACCAAAGTTAAGCACCCTCACCAAATGATATATATGAATGTGTATATGCTCACTCGCAAGTGTTTCCGTTATCAACTCTCAATGCACATTGAAACAAGAATAATCCCATAGGCTTGCTCAAAAACCACACCTTGCTCACTAAGAATGAAAATTCCAACACCTATAATCAAAGGGTCTTTATTCAATGTTGTAACGGAGCCATGGTTGGGGTAGGAAAAATGTATGAAAAAGCTAATGGAATCGAGGGAATTCACTACGAATCACTGTATGAATTAATTAAGCAAACAAACATACCTTCAAAAATAACTACTATACTCAAAACTCAGAACGACAACCGACAATTCAACTTCAATGGACTATCAATGCAAAATAAAAACCAAAACCTCATAATCCACCCCCTTATATATATTATTATTTTCTTTTGAGGCTGTTTTTCTTTTGAATTTTTTCTATTTTTTAGGCCGTTTTTTTTAGGAAGGTGGCAAATAATAAATAAAATAATATATATACAAAACAAGACTGCAACTTCGTACACTTCTCAAATTTCTCTCTAGTTATTCCCAAGTGCAACAAAATTAATTAATATAGTCAAACATAGAAATAATTCCCTAACTACCATAGGTTTCAAAATAATGTTTGGTTTAAGAAATAAAAGGGTTAACTGGCTAAGGATTTATCGTGATTAAAGAACAAAATAAGTCAATAAGCTCAATCACGGTTCACTAATGGTTAATTTTTTTTTGGTAGTAGGTTAAAACTTAAGGCCAAACGGTTCACCTAATTCCCTTATCCTTTTATTCGCATCGAAATCCCACAAAAAACAAACTCAGCATGCATTAGAGAACAAATTTTAGAATTTTAAGTATAACATGCTTCACATATCGAAAAAAAGCTGAGCATATTCTAAATTGTATGACTATGTAAAAATAGGCTCAAAAGCTCATGCAAGGGTTATTTGGTGGTCAACCTAGTTTAATAAAATGATGCTAAGGACAACATAGGTCATTCCAAATACAAAAACGTCACATAAGAAGGATCATAAAGCAAGACAGCAAATGTAAGATAGAGTTAAGGAAGCATCAAAGAGATAATAAGAAACTATCAAAAAAATGTAATCCCCCCTCCCCACACCTAGTTCATGCATTGTCCCTAATGCAATAAAAAAATAAAGAGAAATGGATTACAATGCTTCTCCGGTTTGAAGTACCGAAGTCAAGCGGTGCGAAAAATGAGGGAATGTAGCAATAGCTTCATCTAAGAAAGGGTTGTAGTCACTTCAGTGCGAAAGGCGGCATACTTAGCCAGAAAGGCCGCAATTTCTGTTTGTTGGTGCTCGAGCGCATCTTGCAATTGATCAAATTGCACTTGGAAGTAGTGATGAGAGAATGCAGGTGGATTGGGATCAAAAAAAGGGAGGTCTAGAGAAGCTTGAGATTCGTGGACTAGTGTGCCAACTAAGAACCGATTCCCGTTATGGTTTGTAACCAGTTTCATTGCCTTGAGACAAGGAAAGTCCAAGGGCGTCATCGTGTAGGACCTGTGAAGAGAAAAAGAACTAAGATAGTCAATATAAACATCTGAATAAGAACAAGGTTAAGGGTGAGGTGTGTCATGTAAGATCCGTGAATGAGGTTGCCGCTTTTAGTATGAAACACACGAGAAAATATGTCGTCTAGCCAAAAGCAAAGATTGATACGGATCCCTCGACTCATGGCCCATAACATATATAATTCAACCTTAAAAATCACACCTGCACTATCCTGTCTACCAAGTAAGTTATAGGCAATAAAATTTATGCATGAGCTGTAAGGTAGGAAGTTTGATAGATGAGGAACGAGCATCTCGTGGATGAAAATGGGAGGCGTGGCAACTAATTTCATGCCAAAAGTCATACAACTACTAGAAAATGGTTCAGCATAATCACACAAACTACGGGAGTACTCGGCACTTTGAGAATCTAGTTCAGAAACAACTCCTAATGCTATACCAAATTCAGTTATAGACTGATGAAAACTCGTCCCCATTAAGCGAAACTGGATGACATTATGGGTAAAAAGATAAAATGCATCAGGCAAAGTGAATTGGAATGTAGAAAAGAACTTATAGACTAACTCAGTGATTGCTGGTAAATGTAAAGTAGCAAAAAAGGTCCAACCAATATTGGAAAGATACGCGTTTACCCCTGGTCGTGACCTGAAGTTCATCTAAGGTCGGTTTGTGAAAGAATTTACCAATAATAATCTTCTGACATGGTTCTAAGCATTGGTCATTACGATGGCAGTCCTGGGGGGTCAGTGAAATCCAAATTACCTTATATAACTGAAATGGAGGTGAGTTGAGTGGTTGTGCGTTGTGCACGATGGCCCGTCGAAGAGGTGCCACCCATTGGAATACGTGGCACAACAGGACGTGGAATGAAAGGTTGCCTGCATTTCTTTTTGCTAATACCTTTTTGATTGAGTAGCCTTGATGCAGCTTGTAGTAGGAACTCGAACTTTACCCATGAATTTTGCAAACAAAATAGCTAACCGCACAATAGACTATAACCAAACCGAGGAAATATCTAAACACCCAAAATCGGAAAGTATCCAGATGTATCACACAGAAAATATCAATTTCAGAGCATCAAGAACACGAGTATAACATTCCATCCCAAAAATTGAACCAAGATTGCGCATACTACGTCTAACACCTCAATATCGCCATCACGGAAGGAAAAATTGACGCCAAGTTCACACCAAATTCCTAGATTCGAATGACTGAAGTTCAACAATGAAAATTGTAATGGAAAATTTCAGAATAGTAATAACCCAATTATCAATATATAATACCAAAATTGAAAGTATTGGGAATGTAGGAATGAAGAAATACTACCGAACCGGAGAGGTGAAGATTGTGAAGGAGGTGTGGCGACTTTCGCAGCCATTCAACCCTACCCATATCGTGCAGGAGCGGTGGCTAGAGGCGGCGGCAAAATTTTTGGCGGTTGATGCAGGCTGGCGGATGACTGGAGGAGAAAGAGAAGAAAAAGAAGAAGAAGGAAGATGGCGACGGTTGGAGGAGCGGCGGTTGTCGTTTGAATGCGCAGAGGCCGCAGACCTAGGCAGAGGTGAACCGGTCTAGTGCGAAGAGAAAATGAGAGAGAGTAGAAAGAGTGAGAAAGGGGGAGGAAGGTGGGTCTAGGTAGGGTTAAATTGGAAATTGAAATTTAATTTGGATTAAAGAGGGGAGGAAAATCAGTATGCAACATGGTATTTAGTCATGAGTATGATTAAATACTATGTATTATTCTAGAATTGGGTAGGGTTTGGGATGGTGGGGTGAAAAAAAAAAAAAACAGTATGGGAGGTGTCAATAGTCATGACCATGACTGAAAGTTACCTCTTGATCTGAATTTTTTTGGAGGAAGAAAATCATAAAGATTGATCAGAAGACCTTATCTCCATCACGCTATATCAAGAGCTAGTAATATTTCCTAAAAAACCTTCACAAAATTAAACAAAATAATCAAAATCAGTATGCAACATGGCATTTAGTCATGATTATGACTAAATACTATGTGTTATTTTGGAATTGGGTAGGGTTTGGGATGGTTAGGTGAAAAAAAAACATTATGGGAGGTGTTTAGGGTTTAGGGTCAATTAATCATGACTATAAATGGCTTAATACAATATCCATTGACCACAAACTTTTTCTTCATCTTTAAACTCTGAATATCCACTGCACCAGAAGAAAAGATTTTAGTAACGATAAATGGCCCTGTCCACCTAGAGCGCAGTTTTTTACGGAAAAGCTTGAGACAAGAATGATATAACAAGACGTTTTGCCCAATTATAAATTTTTTTTCTAGAAATATGATGATCATGAAAGGTTTTGATCTTCTCATTATAGAGCATCGAGTTCTCGTACACTTCCTGTCGAATTTCCTCTACCTCTTGAATTTGCATCTTCCGATGGAATCCGACTTCTTGAAGATGCATATTGCACTTTTTCACTGCCCAAAATGCCTTGAATTGAATTTCCATAGGTAAGTGGCAAGGCTTTCCATACAACAATCGAAATGGTGACATCCTTATTGGTGTCTTGTACGTTGTTGGGTATGCCCACGAAGTATCATTGTGTTTCAAACTCCAATATTTTATGTTCGGTTGAACTATTTTTTTCAAGATAGACTTGATTTCATTATTGAAAATTTTTTCTTGTCCATTCTTCTGAGGATGGTACGAGGTTGATACCTTATAAAGTATGCGATACTTTCTAAATAATGCAACCATGGTTTTGTTGCAGAAGTGAGTCCTCTGTCACTCACAATTGCTTTCAGCATTCAAAAATGAGAGAAGATATTGGACTTAATAAATTATGCAACTACCTTAGAATCATTAGTTTGGGTGGCACTCGCTTCCACCCATTTCGAAAAATAATCAACGGCGAAAACAATAGAAGCAACCATATGAATTAGAAAAAGGCCCCCATAAAATCTATACCCTAAACATCAAATACTTTAACAAAAATCATCGGCAATTGAGGCACACTACCAAAAAAATGATCTTTCACCACGGCTCGAGGGTTCGTAACAATAACGTCGTAACAAATAGTGATTTTAGTTATGACAATATCCATGGCAAAAAATCATCCTCCTGGTCAATGTTTTAGGTTCAGTAATTACGCAGAAAATTACATAACAAATACAGAGTTCGTGAACTTTGTTCAAAATAACATTAGTTATGATTTTTTTTGTAACAACTAGTATTTAATTTTTTTTTAATTTAAACTAAATATTTACAGTACAAAAAAATAAGGGTAAAAATGCAATTGTGCTTTGACCCAAGAGAACACGCCAGAGCCAGGGTATTATACATCTCTTCCAACACTTAGAGAAATTAGACGAAATTAGGGCATTATATTTTCCTCCCCTCCAATGCCGTGATCCACTTTCTTTTTTCTTACGCCGACGTGACGCGCTTATGGTGGGATCGATGAGGTAGTCCGGCGCCGGAGTCCAGGTATTGATTTTAAGTTTTCTCCAGTAGTATTTCATGTCGATCGATGGTTCTTCATATCTTCCTCTGTATGGAGAAATCGAATTGAGAAGTCCTAATATTCAGCTTCTTCCTCAGGTTGATACGGAGCTCTGATTTGGGGAGCATCTTCAGGCACGGACAAATTTCTTCTGCATCGTTCCGCATCGTTACATTTTGTGTGTTACATAGCTATTGAGCCCGATTTCGGTTGTTCTTTTTGGGTAAACATCGCTCTTTCATGATATCTTGTGCAACTCTCACATTTCACAAGGGTGTGGGGTAGGTTTTCAAATATATGAAATTTTAGTTTTCATATTAGCAATTCCAGTGCGGGCTGCCCTCCCTTTTGTGCAACTTACTTTTTTATTCTAAATTTTATATGGGTCTGTTATGAAAATGATTTTCAATGTGTGACTTTATGAATAAATGAATTTTAGAACATAGATAACTCAGCATTTTCATCACCACATTCTTGAATTATGATTTTGCAAATCGTTGATAAGAATTATGTGTATGTACTAAATCTGTGATTGAAGTGGTAGTGCAATACCGTTCCAATGGAGTGTATGTGATTGAAGTAGCAGTGCAATTCCGTTCCAATGGAGTGTATTTGTGATTCAGGCATTTATGAATTTGATTTTGTACATTGTAAACAATTCACATTATCTATTTGGGGCTGTGTAACAATGTCGGCGATCATAAACGAAACCATAGTTTGATGTAAGTGTTGCTCTACACTTAAAAAATTTTTGAAACAGTGTTTGAGTACTCACAGCAGAAAAGAAAACCATGAGGAAACTTATTATTAGTATTTTCATGGTCTTTTCTTTCATTAGATACTCCTGCGAATTTCTTCACAGTTTTGTGAAGATAATAATATTTTAGCTGATGCATTGCTCTATATATTATAAATCTTTGACAGGTTTTATATCTTTTGTTATCGTAAAGTTTTTCTTGTGCATCTGTGGCTATTTTTTCCTGTACATGTCATGTAAGAAATATTGAATTACTTAGTATAGAGGAATAATAATACATAAGCACAAGGAAAGAACATAAAGCTGTATGTGTTTGAGGGCAAGAATATGGATTTTTTCCTTTCTTGCCTTAAAAACAAAACATATTCTGAATATACATATCTTTAAAAAGGCATCTTCTTAATATATATGAGTGTGTGTGTGTTTTTCCGCCTGTCTTTCTGTTTGTCTTTCTCCCTGTCGTGAGTTAGTTTGTTCAATATTTATTGTAATTTGACTTATTACTCATCTTATCTTCAAGTGAATTTTAGTTAGAATGGACAGCTGGTACATCAACTTTATATTATCTGAGGGGAAAGTAAAAGTTATATGTGAAAAGAGAATACATGCACATGTGTAGATACAATATGTTAAAAATCATACACTGATTTGTGAAACTGAATGGCAGCTTATGTTGGGAAAATGTCCAACTCCCTAACAGCTTTGCATATATTATAATATTAATATATAACTTTATAACGATGATATATAAGAATTTAATCTTATTTATGCCTTGTTGTGCAATTTCAGCCCCTCCATCATTATATAATACAAAAGTGATAATATGGTTTTTGTTCAATCCCAAAAGTGAGACTGCATATTGTGACTTAGTGTATGTTTATAGTATTGTTGTAGTTAATATAGAAATCACATTTTGGTTGCCGTAGCTTAAATTAAAGATGACCACAAAAAATAGAAAGCCATAGGTATGCAATTAAGGAGACAAACATTAAGATTTCAATTATTTATAGTAATGGTTTGAATGTGAACATATATATATGTATGTATAAATATTAATTAGATGATGATGAATAGTTATAATTAATCGTTTGTGGATATATTCAAAAACAGAGGTTGAGGTTGAGGTTGAGGTTGAGGTTGAGTTTAAGATAGGATTATTTATTTGTTTATTTATGCAATAGGAGAATTTTATAAGCAATCAGCTGCATCCCATCACGTCCTGGAGCAAGAAGTAGGCCATGTTGTGGAAATGTGAAAGAGATCGAGGTAATTTTATCTATCTCAGACTTCAGCCTCAATCTCAGCTTTAATTATTATTATTATTATTATTATTATTATTATTATTATTATTATTATTATTATTATTATTCCAAGTAGCCAATTTTGTATTACTTGTTTGCATCCCTGTAAATTGTGACATCAATCCCTTTTTTTTATTTTCAATCCTCAACTAAGTGTATTTTTCATATTATAGTAAACTCATAAAATATGAGTATGTTGCAAAAATAAAAGTGCAACTTGTAATATAAGTTGTTTCTTGCGGCATTCCATTAAAATTTTTCATGTTGCATACCTTTTTTTTTTTTTTTTTGTCTTTTTACTTTAATTTGAAGTTCACAGTTTGTTCATTGTAAAGAGAGATCAACATGATTTGTTATACTTTCCTTCTGGATCGTATGTTACTGATAAATAATCAAAGTTGCCAACATCTAGAATTTTTGCACATTTTTAAGTCCAATGTCAAATTTCTGAATGTTCTTCATGCTATTGATGTATTGATCCATATGCTAAAATTTATTATCTACCAAAGCTATAGCAAGTGAAGAATGGAAAATCTGATGGATTGCACCTTTACGCATTGGACTTGGTCTCTACTCATTATCAACTATTTGTGTCTGATTTTACTTGTTTCTACAGGTCTTTAATCAATGTCTATAAGGATAGGTCTCTAATTTTTTATTAGGTTTGCCATCTAAAGATCTTCCTTGTCTTCAAGCTAGCTATGTGAAAATTTTATGCTTTTTGAGTTTAATTTCAACTATCAATTATCATGTGATCAAATTTTGATGGTGTATTACAATACATGTGATTCAAATCCATCAAGGCTGATGTGTATGCATTCATGTACAAAAACTTCGGAGCAGTTATTGGCCTATCTGTAATTAGTCGTAATTTATGTACTTTTCACAATTGAATTCCAATGCTTTTGATGGCTAACGAATTCACTATGATCTGCATATTCTTGATAGGCCATAGCTCGTATTGATATGGGCTCTGAGATTCTCAGGCCTGTGTCTGAATCACCTTTTACGGTACGATGTCGTCAAACCCTAAATTTAACTAGTAATCAATGAAGTGTCAACTTTAGGCTAATCTTCTTGGCCAACTATGTTTTCAACTCTTCTGCAATCTCTATTTTAGGTCGGCACCTGTGTGCTTATATTATCTCGCACTAGAGAGAAGAAAGTTGTTGCTGAGGGACTTCTGCTCTGCCCCCCTACACCAGGTTTGTGGCATTGTGCCTTGAGTTTTTTCTTTTAAATCCTTCAATATGATGTTCATACTGCATCATCGATATTGTGACAGTTCAGATCTTATGGTTTTATTAATCATGGTTTTATTTAGTCTGGGCATATTCAACTTGACATATGTGGCAGTTAGAATATTAATGAAATTATTATTTTAATATTGTACATGATATATTGTTTTACTTAGGTTTGATTGGTGGATGGTTGGTTTATAGTTCGAGTTGCAATCACATTGGAAATTAGAAAGTAGTGTGATTTGGTGCCTAATTCATGGGTTGAATAACATGTATTGTAGTAAATGTCCGAATTTACATACTCGTGCTATATGAGTTACGAAGTTTACACTTCAAATGTGTTATGGCATGTTATACATACAGTGTGATCGTGTGTTGATATATACGGTGAACTACATACTCAAAACTGCACTTTTTGAATATTGTAGGTGACACACTTTCCATTGTCAAGGTCTTCGTTACGTCAGCCTCAGTCCCGGAGACACCCCTTATTTTACCAACAATTGCAACTACTATTTGCGAGGTTGTCGGTGAAGACACTAATGAGTGGAACTACAAGGACGTATGGATCTACTTTCATTTCTTTCATGTATTGTGTTCCAAAACTTAAAAGAAATATTACTAAAACTAAACCTAAATTTGTTGGCAATTGCAGCTCATGCGCCACCCCTGAAGCATTTCAACCGATTCCTTAATGTTTTGCCCCTATTTGCCTTATCGATTGCATATCGTAGCAATGTTTGGATGGTAGGTTGTTATGGCTATGTGAATTACCTATGGATTAGATGCATAGACATTTGGAGTTATCTTTTGTGCGGTGAGAATTGTGGTTATGGATTAATGGATATCCCTACTTGCTTATTACTAGCTTGGATGTTTGAAATACTTGTGTTTTGTGGAACATAATATCCAAGTGGAGATATGGCTAGGCTTGTTTGATGGGATATTTTATTTTTTTGTTAGGTGATGAACATCGATTTGTAAGTATTGTTATGTTACTATCCTATGTTGGGATTCCCTTATAGTGTTTATTGTTTATAATTATGGTCGATCGTGATATTTATAGCATGGTTGTATACAAAATATGTTTCGGTATAAGAGAGATTACAACAGGTCAATTTGTTACACACAATTTCAATTGCATCACAACCACTATTTTTTATGAGACACTATTTTTCCATAACAAAAGGATAAAATGTTGTAACAAAATGTTATTTCTGGATGTTTGTTACGACCATTTTCGTGACCATAAGTAAGGATAATTTTTTTAAGGGTTTAGTGACGTAACAAAATGATGCAATGATGTAACAAAAAGATGAAATGACGTAACAAAGAGTGGTTCTTGGATGTTTGTTGTTACGGCCAGTTTCTTGATCATAAGAAAATATATTTTTTATTACAGGTGCAGTGACATAAAAAAAAAAACTGTAATAGAAAGCATACTCTGACAAGCGGTCATAGTAATGTTTTGGGTAACGTGAGGAACTTCTGTAACAAATATCGTGACAAAAGGTCCTGCCACACGCGCGAAAAGCTCGACTTATGATTACGAGAGAAAATTCGTAACAAACATCGTAACAAAAATCCTGCCATAGGGAGCGTTGACCGACAATAATAGTTATGAAAGTTACGTGGCAAAAAACATTCGTTACGCAAGTATACATTACGGATAAAAGTCGTCACTAAGGCGTAGCAAACACGCAAATTGCACGAAAAGTGGCTTTTTGTTACGATCTTCCAGTTGTAGTATAAAACTATTTTTTTGGTAGTGGCATTTGATTACGAGAGAAAGGTTACTTGTTTGTTGATATCTATGACAAGACTTACATAACTCAAATGCGTCCTTGAAGAGAGTAGGCCAGTAAAGTCCACTTTCTATCACCTTTCTAGCTGGTTTTTGAGATTCAAAGTGTCCACCACATGCCATAGAATGACAAAAGGTCAAAATATACTGAAATTCACTTTCATTAACGCACCTTTGAATGATTTGATCAGAACATCGCTTCCAAAGATAAGGTCATCCCAAATGTAGTATTTTGCATTACTTTGGAGCTTATCCCTTTTTGCCTTTTCCCAACCTACAGGAAACTTACTGCTGGTGACTAAATAATTAACAATATCAACATATCAAGGGAGTTAGTTGCATTGGAAAGAAGTTGTTCACCAGGAAAGGACTCTCGAACAGGAATTGCATCTGACTCCACGGGTATGTGACTCACATGATCAGCCACCAAATTCTCAGTTCCTTTTTTTTCATGAATTTCTATGTCAAATTCTTGCAAAGGAGCACCCATCAAATTACTTGAGGTTTGGCCTCTATTTTTGCCATCAAGTAGTGTAGAGCTGCATGATTAGAGTAAACAAATACTTTAGAGCCTAGAAGATAAGATCTAAATTTATGAGAAGCAAAAACAACAACAAACATCTCTTTCTTCATGGTGGAGTAATTTAATTAAGTGCCATTCAATGCTCGTGAAGCATAGTAGATGACATGAGAAGCTTTCCCAACTCATTGTCCTAGAAAAGTCCCCATTGCAGTATCACTTGCATTACACATCAGCTCGAATGGCAAGTCCTAGTTTGGAGGTTGGATAATTGGTGGGGTTGTCAGACGCTCCTTCAATGCTTCAAATGCCTTCTTGTAATCATCATTGAACTCATATGCCACATCTTTCTGTAGGAGGTGAAACACTGGTGCTCCAATCTTGAAGAAGTCCATGATAAAGCGCCGGTAAAAACCTGCATGTCCTAGAAAACCGCATAGCTCTCACACAAAAGTAGAATAAGGTAAAGCAGTGATTAGCTCTACTTTAGATTTATCTACTTTTATACCCTCAGGTGACACTTTATGGCCTAAAACAATTCCTTGTTTTACCATCAAGTGACATTCTCTTAATTAAGCACAAGGTTAGTTTCAATGCATCATTTCAGGATTAGAGTCTAATTTCCTAGACATGCATCAAAACTATATCCATATACACTAAAGTCGTCCATAAAAACTTTAATGATTTGCTCAATATACTAAGAGAAAATACTCACCATACATCTTTGGAATATAGCAGGGGCATTATACAAACCTAAAGGCATCATTCTGTAGGCAAAAAATCCAAATGGACAAATGAATGATGTTTTCTCATAGTCATCGGGTGCTATCGCTATCTGAAAATAACCTGAAAATTCATCTAAAAAGGAGTAATAGGTGCGACCAGCTAGTCTTTCAATCATTTGGCCAATATAAGGAAGGAGAAAATGATCCTTTTTTGTTACCTCATTGAGCTTATGATAATCTATGCATTGGCGCCATCCAGTTTGCTTTCGAACTGAGAGCTTTTCACCTACTCCAACTTTCTTGGGAACTACTTCGACTCGGCTCACCCATTTACTATCGGAGATAGGGTAGATGATACCAACATCAAGTAGTTTCAACACATCTTTCTTGACTACCTCAGCCATAATCAGGTTTAACTTTCTTTGAGCTTGTCTCACCGGTTTGGAATCCTCCTCAAGTGTGATCATGTGCGTACGAAATGAGGGATTAATACCTTTTATGTTACTCATTGTTCATCTAATGACGGTCTTGTGATCTTTAAAAACCTTAATTAGCTTCTCTTCTTGTTCTTGTGTCAATTTTAAGAATATGATCACCAGTAGAGTAGTTTTTTTTCTCTCAACTAAACATACTTCAGAGTCTCAGGTGGAGGCTTTAATTCCAATTTTGGTGCCTGTATCAAAGATGGTAATAAACACTTATTAGATTCATGTAAGAATACTTCATACCTTGGTGGCCCTTTCGGAATTGAGTTAAACTCCTTGAGATTTTTTTTTATTCTCTTGTCTATGACTATCTCTCCCATACGTTCTTCCTCCATATGTCCCATCAATACGATCTTCAATTCATCGGAATCACTTAATTCAAATACTTTATGCACCCAAGGATCCAAAATATAAAAGTTAATAAGAAAAATTAGGTCATTCACTTAAACTAGTACATCCTTTACCATACCGTCAGAATAGGCATTAGTTTGATCAAAAAGCTAAATAATAATACCTATTTCTTTCAAGGGTCCTATATTCAAAGAGTCATGTAGTGATCGTGGCATAACATTGATATCGGCGCGCAGGTCTAACATAGCCTTAGCCACTTCTACTTTTCCAATTTTGCAAGGGATAGAAAACATACCTGGATGACCTATTTTAGGTGGTACTTTTCTTTTCAGAACAGCAGAGACATTCTCACCCACTATAATGTTGCTCATCCCCTCGCAATTTTCTCTTCTTGGTACATAGTTCTTTAAAAAACTTTGCGTACTTGGGGATTTTTTTGATAGTCACTAAAAATTCCTTTCGTTTCTTTTCCTTATGTGGCTTCTTCAATCTATCAGGAAAATGAGGCAATTTAGTTTCAGTAGAAAGAAAAGATTTAGGATGTACCTTTTCGTGGAATTCAATTTCCTTTTAAATCTCCATTTCAATATGATCTTCATTCTGTTCCTTTTAGATAGGAGGTGGACTATCCAATTCCTTACTACTACGAAGGGTTATAGCATCACATTCTTTGGATTTTTCTCTGGATGCGCAGGCCACTTTTCTCTTTGACGTAACTATTTTACCTCCTCTGATACTTGACTAATCTGACTTCGTAGCTCGTCAATAGTTGATTTCATCTCTTATTGGAACTGTTGGGTAGTAGTGGCCATAGACTTCACCAAGTCTTCCAAAGACGGATTAGAATTGCTTGTGGGTGCTTGGGGCGGCTGCTTCTCATAAAGACGAAGCTGTTGTATTTGGTGTGTAGCTTCGAATGGTTAAGGACTATGACTCTGCTGTGCATTTCTATAGCACGGTTCGGATGATCTTTCCAGCTTAAATTATAGGTGTTGGAGTACGGATTGTACACTGAGGTCTTTTCACACCATAGCTTGCAATGCTTACATCCATTGCATAGCCTTCTTGGAGGATCGGCCATGCATCTGTAGGATGACCTGCACTTGTGCATATTTCACATGCCTTGACTTGGACACTCAGGTTAGATTTTTCTACGACGATCTTGCGAACAAAGCTTGTCAACTCAGAAAGTTGTTTCTGCATCAATTGGATAGAGTGGTCTTTACTGTTTCCGCTTGTCTGTCCAACATCCCTCGAACCAAACTACTACGTGTTCTCAGCCACCCGAGCAATAAGATCCCAGGCTTGTGTTGGCGTCTTATTCACTAGATCTCAACCACTTACAACATCGATGATGTTCTTGTTCATCAGTGACAAACCATCATAGAAGTATTGAATCAATAATTGTGGAAAAAATTGATGTTGTGGACATTTAATGATAAACTTATTCCATCGCTCCCAATATTCATGGAGCGTTTCATCTGATTTTTGTTTGATGCCACATATCTCCTTCCTTAGAATCGAAGCTCTGGAAGCTGTAAAGTATTTCTTTAAGAATTTATTCTTCATGTCATTCCATGTGTTGATTCTTCTAGGTGGGAGATAGAAGATCCAATCATTTGTAGCATCTTTGAGTGAGAACGGGAAGGCTTTGAGTTTGATTTGTTCGTCACTAACACCTGGTGGTTTCATGCTAGAATACACCATGTCAAACTCGTTCAAGTGTTTGTGAAGTTCTTCGTCTTCAAGTCCATGAAAGAAGGCATTGAATGAACTAAGCCATATTTCAATTTATAAGAAATTGTGTTATTCAGAGTTGGAAAATCAATGCATAAGGGCTACTGCGTCAAGCTAAGAGCAGCCAACTTCTTTAAAATGTGGTTATCCTCAGCCATGACAGTTTATTGATCACTTTCAGAGAAGCTAGAGCTAGAGATTTTAAGGCTCAAAGAATCAGCCAGCTTTGCAACTTGAGCAGCTTTTCGTTGTCTGGCTAGCTTTCATAGCTTTCGCTCAACCTTCTCTATCTCAAGATTGAATATCAGTTCACCTGTACGAGAAGAACGGAGCATAAATAGGAGGATATAGGAAAATAAAGCAAATAAAAACATAAAAAGTAAAACAAAGCGCCAATCCCCGACAACAACGCCAAAAATTGGCAGGTTGCACGGTCAATCAAATAATTCATCTACTCTGTGATTATAAATTAATGTAATACAGGGGAGGGGATTGTTTCCACAAGGATTTTGAGATTCACTCTTTTGTATTCTAATGCAATGAATTACAATGGGCCTTTTTCTCTTGCTATCTAATGAAGACATAATAAAAAAAACAATAAAATCAAGGGAGAAATGGCTATCGAGGGGATCCTGGCTCAAGGGGCGATGTAGATATGGAACTTGTGTTCTTATCAACAATTCAATAAAGTTGGTTCTTATTAAACTATCAATGAATTGGTTATAGTTATCAACAAGCTCTGACAATTACTTTTTTCTTACAGTGTAGGTAATTAAGGTACTCATGTTAACTACCCTTAATTAAGCTAATAAACCTAAGTACGCCCATAGGAAATATTGTCTAATCACAATCTAATCTAGAAAAATCCAATTCAAAACAATTACTACATAAGAGGAGCAATTAGATTTGATTGTCTAACCCCCGGGAAGGAATTATTCAACCTGGTTGTCACAAATTCAAGTCGAATATAATTACGGATATCCTACCTGAATTGACTTTAGATTATCAAGATAAATTTAAATATCGATACTAAAATATCCAATCAATCTAACAATCACAAACACTATTATCAAGATTATACAAATATTGATAATAAAAAGAACTTCTATAAAAGAAAGTCAAGAATCTCCAAAACACAATAACCAAGACATGATCATTCCTCAAACTAGAAAAATGTTTACTCCATAATCAAATAGCAAAGAACAATAAAGAAAGATAAAGTCATAGTCTGAAGGGAAATCTTCTCTGTCTATTCGCTCATGCGCGATCTATGAATCTGTCAGTCTCCTGCTCCTGCCCGTGTCTGCACTACTTCTGGTTGTCCTCCCTCAATATGTGTGTAACTACCTATTTTTTCTTTTAATTTTGCCCTATTTTTGTAGTAGTTGCGTTTTTGGGCCTTCAATTAAAATTCCATGTCAGAATGGTGGGGTTAGTCATGGTCATAACTAACTTGATTGTCCAATGCTGATTTTTTTTCCTAAATTCACCAATATTTTTCTCTCATGTATGTCGGAAATAAACAATACGTACTGTGAAATTAGTTAGAATCCAATCAAAAATCAATCAAATATCGTATATGATACGAACATAAAAACACACGTAATTTTGAGCTATCAGTGTCCTACATTACCACCAGGCAAAGGAAAGAAAGTTAACTCGAAATTCGCTTAGGTTATACTGGGATTAGTTTAAAAGATAAGCATAAATCAAAAGAAGAAGCACAAACATAAGTCAAATTTTATCGTTCGATAAATTTTTATAAAAACAACTTTTCGAAGAAAAATTGTTTGAATGTAATAAAGTTAAAAGTGCTTTTAAATGGTGAAAATTACTCAAAAAGATATTTTGTTAATATAATTGTATTTTTTGAATAAAAATTTTATAATTTATTTTAAATTTTATTATTTATATTTAAAAATTTTAAATTATATAGTATAAAAAATATATGTTTTTTAATGTGGTAATATATATTTTAAAATTTTACTTTAAAGATAATATACAAATTTAAAAAAAAATTACAATTCAAAGTTAAATTATTTGTACTTTTATAATTTATTATTATATTTAATAATTTCAAGTTTTTAGTATAATTAAACATTTATATTTTTAATTTTGATATATGAATTTAATTGAAGTAAAATGTATATAAAATAACAATAAAAATATAATTATATTTTTAGATTTTAATTACAATATACAATAATTATTTTTATATTATATTATAGTTTTATTGTTATTATTATTATTATTATTATTATTATTATTATTATTATTATTATTATTATTATGTTTATGTTTATTACTAGGGATAACATACGTAATTTTAACTGAAAAATCGTTTTGCTTATTTCAGAAGCTATTACTAACGTGCTTATGAAAAAAAAATTGTACTTTCTAACTTCAAAAGCTGCTTCTACAAAAGTTAATACAATGGTCATGAAGATTGACATTGAGAAAGGTAACACCTCCTGAAAGATCATCTACGCCTAACTTCAATGTTCATGAAGATTGACACCGAGAAAGGTAACAACTCCTACAATTTCACTACTGGTGATTGGATAGACATTTTTTTTTCATGTCATGAGGAAACCTCTAGTTTTATAGTCGTCATGAGGAATACAAAGGTTATTCCAGAGCTAAATACCTTCCCTTGAATAGAAATGAGACATCATCAAAGGGAAAGATTGACTCAAAAATTGCAAACTGATTTTTTGTAGAAATAACTAGATGACAAACCAAAAAAAGTTAGCACCAAAAAACTCAGGAAGATCTTGAATCCACAACCCACACCATGGCTTGGTAGTATGGTGCTGGAAAGGGAGTTAGCAGGTTGTGGCTGCAAAGAACCTGATTGCTAGTGAAAAAATGGTACGAACAACCCCGATTGAGGT